TATTATTGCAATTTAAGGGCTATAAAACAATAAAAATATAAAAATTAATAAATTATTGATAATTGTAGAAAATCAATTTTTCGAAGTATCAACAAGGACTTTCTGTTCTGCGACATTTACATTATCGTGTTTACATTGCTGAAAGAGTAGCAGAATTTAACAAGCAGCAGAATTCAATAGATATTCAAGATGTTCGCAAGTATCAAAGGTGATCAAGTTCAATGTAACCAAATCTTGTTCTGCCATCGCTGACTTATTGTCAATCAGTGCTGCAATCCTGAGTTCGATAATCGGTGAGTCGCATGCTTTCTTTGGTGTTGGATTAATATTTGAATGTGATTATTTAAACTTAAATATATCTCGTTCTACGTTCAGAATTGTTGCGTTTTTCTTTATATCTTGATAATCTGTAAATTTTTATGCATTGTGAACGTATTGAAAGAAATAGGATCTAAGCAGGAATCTATTTAAAGTTGAAGATATTGAATATTATATCAAGTGACCTATTTTCTATATTCTCTGTGTATTTTTAAATTTAAGTAATATACAGCGCTTTAGAAACTTAAGATTTTGTTACCATGTCAGTGATTTCAAAGTGTGTGACATAAAATTCCGTAAGATGTCACATCTATTTTGTGGTAAATGTCAGTACTAAGGATAAATTCAATAATTAATTAATATAAATAAATATTGGTGACTGATAAATTTCATTTACAAAATCCTACCTGTTAGACCTAACCTAATGTATTTTTTCGTTTTATATCCGTTCTTTATTTGAAAATAATACTTTTTGCAAAACGCGCGCATATTGGATTTAAATTAATTAAAGGTTACAGCGCCAACGGTGAAATACGGAATACACTTCCTACGATTCTCGAAATAATCGATATTTCTTATGATCGATTTTTAAACGGGAAACATGGCGAAAAAAAGCACGCCTCATAAAGAAGAAAGTATTATTCAGAAAAAGGTATCATCCAAAAGTTTTTATTCATTTAAAAATTTAAATCAATAGCTATTAGATTTATGTTGAATTTTTAAATTAAAACTTGCATTTTTAGCTTTAGTTCATCGAGATCTACTAGATTACTGAAAAAGTGTATAATTTCTTTCCCTAAGGTGAGATTTAACCAAATAATTATTACATATAATTTTCAACAATTAAAGAAGTAATGACATATAAACATTTAAACAGAACACTATACTAAAAGTTACTTATAATTTCATACCAAAATTTCAATTCTAATCGGAAAAAATATTGTAACCTTGTAATTGACTAACTCATTGTTATATACATATACACGTATTTGATTATATGCTTTTACACTTCATAAGATTTTCTATTTATTTGTTGATTCTTTAACTTTATACTGCGTAGTTCCTAACAATTCTAATATTAAGAAACAATAATTTATTATGAATGTACGTACTTAATAGTTAAAATAATAATTTTTGCGTAATTAATGCATTAATGCATTAGATTGGTGATTTTTTCTAATCTATCAGTAGCGTCCCTTCGATGGCGTCATTTCTTTGACACTCTTTTACTTCCCTTTTTTCTTATTAATAACATTACATTAATGATATACAATTACCTTTATTTGAAGCATTTGTTCTGATTTCTGATTCCTTTTTGTGTAGGTTATTCTTTGATTGTAAAGACAGCATAGAATGCATAGACGCAACGATCATTAATGGACAATCATGGAAAATGAACTTTCATGGAAAATTGGTAACATTTT